AGCCATCTAATTTTTGGGATTCTTATGAATCCCGGCAGCCTTCTTTGGTTCGAAACGTCATACTGTGTCTGGCGTCTGGCGACGAATCATAGATTATCCTCATTTTAGTTCCAATTTATAAATTAGGTCTTGGATCAGTTTGAATCCAGTTGATAGTGCAGTTCTAATTGTGCAGAATGATTAAACGAAAATAAAACTCACAAATGTTCCTCGCGTATTGAAAATATATATATTCTCGCGCTTCGCAGAAACGTCTTCAGTTTCAATAATTTTCCAAACTTGATTTAATAATTAAAAGAATCAAGTTAATCTTTTGAAAATTATATTGAAAGCACATGCAGCGGTTGGTTTGAACAAAAAAACAATAATGAATGTTAAGAATAGAAAATTTCGATGCGTTACAGAAATCTCGCTAAGCTGCTATAAAGCATGTCAAGGAAGAACATGCCTGTAGGCATATTCACGTATGTAAAAGTTTTTAGCGCATAAATATAATTTTTATTCAAGGCTTTTCCATGTTTGTTTCACTTTTAATATTTTTTTGTGTGCGCTTTCTACAGTGCGTTCAAAACAATTACAACTTGAAATTATTTGCGTTACTTGTTTCAAGTGCGTGGCAACGCTCTCTCTCTCTTTTAATAACTAACCATTGTATGCGAACGACATCACCTCATCGTTATCGCCTATGTACAGCCACTATCACGAATAAGGCGACAACGAAGACGATAAAAGCAACAGCTGCGGGTAAAAGGACATTAAATACGACATTATAATAATTTTAACCACCGATAGCAACGCAAAACAATTTTGCATTTTCTAGATCAGCAAAATTGTTTAACGGATCCATCTTCCGGAATATAGTTTTAAGCATAAAATGAAAAGGATATTAATCCAAAATAAATTTTTATGGATATCCGTCTTTAAATTAAATATCATATCATAATCAACGATAAACGATCAAATTGTAATTTGTTGAGAGATAAAATCCTAATTCGTTACAAAAGACAAAAAAAAATAAAAAAATAAATTAATAAATAAATAAAAAGTTTAGAGCGATGGGTATAAAAAAGTTCGGTTCAAACTGAATACAACTTTTTTTCTGTTCGTTTTTACTGTTATTGGTGTCGTTGTTGTTTTGTTTGTACGCTGTTGCATATATATAAAACTCATTTGCGTATCACTCATTCAATGCATTTACATACTGGTTTTGTAACGCACGAGGAGATGAAAAAGATTTTTCCCTAGTGCAACGCTGCTGACTAACTGCCGCTGCCGTGTGCTTCGCCTATTGACATTATTATTACTGTTTACGTTGTTATAGTTGTTTTTGTCATTATACTTGTTGCTCATCATAATCGCAGTCATAAAACATATCGTTGTTGAACTAACCACATACCGCAAAGATACATAGATATGCAAGGCTTATCAGTATCAATACACTTTTGTAATTTACATGTTACATTCTGTACATATGTACGTGCATAGATGCATAGTCACAATTCACTGGAATAGGTGTACGCCTATCTATAGCAGCAATATATTCAGAGATCTAAAAGATAGAGAGAGAGCGAGAGCGAGAGCGAGAGAGGGAGAGAGAATGAGAGAAAGAAATCCCTTTAAGTGATCAATAAACTAAAGAAAAGTTATGCACCCCTATTAAAACTGTATGTAGTTGTGCTTACGTATGCGTTTACGTTCGCAAGCATGATTGCTCTTAGATATAGATATATAAGCATTTTAAGCGTATAATACTATCAGCCTCCAAAACAATTGCACCTTTTCGCAAAAAGTAACAGAAAATAAATGTATTTTGTATTCGTCTGCAGCTTAGCTGCTGTACTCGTATATTGAAAATATTGCTTATGTCGTCTAAACCAGTTTTTCCTTTTTTTTTTTATTTTTCATACCCACCGCAGGGAGTGTATTAGAATTGTCAAATGATTGTAACGCATGGCAATATTCATTGGAGATCATATATAGTCTTATAAACATAAGGTGACCACAGCTTATTGGCAAAAAAGGCTAACACATAGGAAGTGAAACCGTTTCACCCAAAACATATATTTAGTTTTTTCATTAGAGCCAGATTTGCCGGTCAAGAGAAACGCTAAGAGACATATTTTTTTTTTCACGTTCGATAGGTCGCAAGAAAATTTTTAAGTCCTTTTCTTTATACAAAGACTCTGACAGGATCAGCTGCCTGCAAGAATATTTCGGAGTATATTTTTGCCCAACGAGTAAAGGTCAGAGTGAGTTTGTTGCTCTTTTACAAAAGAAGACGATGAGCTATTCGCAAGATGATTTTTAAGTAACCACCCCTAACAGATTGGCGGTATATTCAATTGGTAGACACGTTTACAAAGCCCAGAAAGTAACTTCACAGCTCCTACGCATACCTGCCTCTGCATATTTTCTTAAAGAGTTTTAATTCCTACATTGACGTAGATTTACGAATCCGTCTGTCCTTCGACATGAGCGTGTGCAATAAATCCTCACCAGGTCGCAAAAATTTTAATTGCTACAATCATTTGTAGGCAGATTGGTATTAAAAGGCGATCGAAAGAGAAGTTTTAAAGCAACAGCACTGTTCCCAAAAGAAAAAAAATTAAAAAGTGTTTTTTTCCTCGCTATTCACAAACTGGACCAACAAATACAACGATTTTGCAATATTTGTACGAAAAAAATATCGGCCAAAATAATAGTGATGGGTATAACGGAATCGGATTTCTTTAGCGTCGGGTCGTTCGGTCCATTGGTGCCTTTCGTTCTAACTGCTCCATTAGTTCCGTTAGTTTTATTGATTCATGTATAATTAGCAAAAAAAAAAAAAAAAAACTAATATTTTCTTGTCTTTGATAGGTGATAGCTTTCCAAGTACGAATACTAATATATATATATTTTTTTGTTTTTTTTTTTTTCATTTAATAAAATGTTGTCTCTCTTCCAAAATGATGGTAGAAAAATTTATTGTAGATTAAATAAAAATAACCTCTTTCTTTTTCTTTCTCCATATTGGGCTATAGGGAATACGTTTAGTCGTTTGTATCTCATTATGATTTCATAGCCTCCATCCAGCTGGCCATCAAGGAAGAGCGTGACTTAGAGATACCAAAATAGTTGCTATTGACGCCTTCGATTCCGTTTTTGAACATAACGAGGCCAATAAACGACATAAGTTTGGTTTTATTTTTTTTTTTTTATCAAAAATCATTTAATAATAAAACTGACAAAGCGTCGATGCGAAGTGAGTCGACTTAAGCTAAATATAATTTTTTTCCACGGTGGGTTCTCTATGCTCTATTACTGTAAAGAGTAGAGCAGACCCTGCTTGTTTAAGAATTTGATATGTGCACTTATATGCATACATATGTGTGCGCGCATTTGCAAGACTGACCATAAATTTTAAACCTATACTCGTGACTTAAGTAGAATTTTTAATGTCTACCTTGGTGCACCAATGCACACGTTAATCTCACAATCTTAAGTCATTTGTTGTACTCATGTGGATGACAACGACTGCAATAACAGCAATAACAACTCGCACAACGTGTAAAACCATCTACGCCTACGCACGTTCACATTCCATAAAATTCTCGACACCATTTAAAAATTTAACACTCGAAATCTAAAAGAAAAACAAAATAAATAAATAAATAAATAATAAAGCAACGAAATAAAAGCTAATGGCACATAAATGCTTGTTTAAAGTAAAACAATCGAATCTACGATTGTCAACACCATACCGAATGACTAAGCTTACCCGACTGATTGTTTAAGTCAATTAAGGAAACGGAAGTGCGTTCATTTCTCAATATTTTAGCAGAGGTTTCGATGACTTTTACATTATGAATATTAATAAAGTAATGCCTGTACGTTAATGCCAACAGATGACGTTGGCTATTGTTTACGCCGTACTATACCGGGCTCAGGGCGTATCTTAGTTCTTTCACTATGCTTTACTATTATTCTTATTACTAGAATTAAGCGGACAAAACCTAATGACAGGAAAATGTAATGAATGGGCACCATTTAGAAACGACCTCTGTTGAAAAATGATCTATCTGAACAATGACTGTTTAAATGACAGTCCGGACAGAAAGCCTATGCGAACTTTTGAAGCGACTAATATACACTGCCTGGGGCGGGAACTATCGAGGCTTGTTTGGCGGCTTTCGACCATTGCCTGTCATGAGCGATAAAGGTAGGTGTGAAACCCTCGATTTAGTTCATCATCAGCTATGTTGCTATGTTTACGAATAGGAAATGTTCTATCCATCTATTAAGCACTTCTAATAAATAAACTCACCTTTTTCAGTAAAGAAATTCATTTATCCTCAAATTGCGTACTTTACCCTCATAGTTCGTACTTTAAGCACGTTGAACGACCTACCTGTAGAAGTCTTGCCCATCGTTTTTGAAGTTCTTACGCTTAAGTTGGACACAAAAACCCTCTTTCTTCCCTTTCTCTCACCTGTAATTTTTCTTTGACCATTACCCTGTTTGCAGGTAAAAATAGCATTCCTCCCGCAGCAAATTATTTAAAAAAACAAGCTGACTCTCTTCACGAACATCAGGACATTTCTATAATGCGGTAAACTTCTCACATCTGTTCTTGAACAAACACTAGAACACGAACGACTAAACGGGCAGTATTTATGCTGATAGAAAAATATACATATTTTTCGTGGAAGAAAAGATGGAAACAGAACGGGAGGGATGCATAAAATTATAAAATCTATTATTAATAGCAAGGGAACACGCTCAGAAGTTCGTGGTGTTATTGCTCCTAATCGACCTATGATGCAGTTACAATTGGTCTGAATTAACTATAAGCTTGTCACACTTGTTTTATGTCTAAAAATTGAAAGAGCCTTTCCAATATGAAGCAAGGGAATAGGACACCAACAAGACCAAGTCATTGTAAAACCTTAACGTTTTTTAATTTAATAGCTTACTTGGTGGTCGCTTTTAAATGTTGCAAACGGGATGGCCAAGTCACTATGCCTGCATCTCCTATTTCTGGGTAACATATATAAATGGGCCAGTTTTTTCTTACGGACTTATTTTTATACATACTATATGCACTCTTATGTACGTAGTCGTATTCTCATAAATCTATAAGCAACTCACACGGTTCTTTTAGATATAAATACATGGTAACTGCAACTGCAACTAAACCTAAGCCGGCTTGCTAGCAGAGTCTCTAAGTCTAAGTCAAAGTTTTGTTTGTGACTAAAACGCAGCACGCGTTTTAGAACATGTTTTTAGTAAGCTGTCGTTGCAAAGTGTCAAAAGTGATATCGATACAATATATTGTTTCCTTATTGCCTGATGCATTACTAGGAAGTGGTTTGGACATATGCACACATACACAAATACATATATGCATGCGAACATACACACATACATACATAAACAAGCGATTTCAATGTATGACTTTCGCGAAGTAAAAGTTCAACGAAATTTCAAAGTCTACATAAATATACTCATACATTAAACTCTTATGCTCTTATATTTAAATAATTATCATAATTGGAGAACTTCATAAGTTAACTCAAATTACTAAGTGACACAAGTAGCATAAAGATGAAAAGTAAGAAATAAAAACGTAAATATATTAAGCTTTTATCATATTTAGTTCCACATTTTATTGTTAGTAAATTCTTTATACCCGCTATTTTTATATCAACAAACAAACAAAAATACAATAAAATTGCAATAACACTTCAATGTTGCATAACATTTTTATACATGTACTGAGGATTGTTATTGTTGTTTCAGTTGCAGCTCGTGAGTAATGGGGAAGACACCACGTTTTCTTTTTTGCCCTTAAAAACAAAGATGCTCTCAATTTGTTTCGCATTGTAAGCGTGTCAAGTTCAAAGCCGGCATATAGCGACTAAAAAGTAAGCAAAGATAATAAGAGGACACGCCTAAACCAATTCGACATTTGATACTCATCAGGAATTTATATATATACATATTAAATTCTGTCTTGTCAAGTCTTTCTGTAATCTCCGATATTAGTAACAAACGATTTTGCTCTAACATAATCTTGATAATATCGTTGTCCATCAAGATCGCCGCCCAGATCAGGGCTTATGAAGAAAGCTCGAAATCACCTATTTGAGATAATTCAAACCATCTTCTGCTTGTCCTCTCAGAAACTGTGTCGTCGCCAAACACTTTCAATAGGTTTTTACACGTTTTTGTAATATTTCTTCCTTATGGGAATTCGTACAAAATACAGTGTGGTAGATGTAACGAGATGATCGTAGCTCACTTAATATCATCTGCGTTTTAATTCATTTGCTGGGGCAGTATATATACACTAAGTGAGAAAAAGAGAGAGAGAGATCATAGCGTCTCTCGGGCTTCCTTCTGGATGTTGCAAACGTTTTGAAAAAGTGAATATATCACCAATTTTTCGGTGGTGGGTAAAAAATGATACTCAAAACGTTTCTTATGGTCAAGACTTTGTCTTTAAAAAAGTAAAAAAAAACTCGCGTGGCAACATTCTCCCAAAAAAAAGAAAAAATCCACAAACTTACTTGCGGGCAGCAGATCAGGGGAATATCATACACATACAAACCCAAACGAACATAGAGTTAAACATCGGTCAACAATATATGTATATGTATATATATGCTTCATAGGGTCTCTTAAGCTTCCTTCAGAGTTTCGAGAAAATTCAGATAACTCTTGCCCTCGATCACCAAATGAGTTTTTTTTTCTTTTATTCCATTATACCCAAAGCAATTCTGGCAACTGTCTGATTAGAAGTTTAAAAAACAGTTTTGAACTTCATTTTTTATGCATTTCCCTACTCCAACCCTTTCGGTTGCAGTCAATATCCATCTTTCATTTTTTCTTTTCCTTAAGTTGATAGATTGAGCCTCTTAAGACCTTGCAATTAATACATTCTTAATTCTTATTTGTGTTGCAGTTTTCCCTAAACTTAGCTTAATGTAAATCTCGTCACTATGTCTCATCAAACTGCTCGACGTTCGGAATGCCCCTTGGCGTCGTTGGGTCGTACCGGTACTGCAGTTATTGACTCACTTAATGGCTTACATCAGTCTACTTACCATCATCCTTTAAGTTCAAGTCCCTTAGATCCTCAAGTATATCAAATGTCGCGGAAATCCCCTGATTTAAGCATTGATACTGACGACATCATCTATAGCACAAATTCGTCTGTATTACAACACAGCACGGAGACAACGACGGGTGGAATAAAAGAAAAAGCCAATATGACAGTAAAAACCATTCAAAGTGGATCCGCCCAATTGTACAATCTCTCGAGAAGCTCGTCACAGAGTTCGCTAGATCAACCTGGATTAATAAAATGCAAAGCAGCAAATTTTGAACTAAGAAATGGAAATTATAGTCTTAATGGGCAGTCATCTTCGTCTTCAGTTGATCGCACAACACAACAGCAACAACAAAATAGATCAGAAATTAATTCTAATCAGCAGAGGAATTTTTTGGCTTTAGGACATCTCATCAAATATGGATGCCATGAAAGAAGATCCAATAATAGCGGTGATACCGAAGACTCCAGTGATGCCAATATCGGTGGCAATGGTACAAATCAATGTTTACAACGTCAACAAGGCGTGTGTTGCAGTATAACTTCAGGACCATCCAACGGCGCACCGGCACTCAATTCATCTCACTATTACTTAGAGAAGAAAATGGACTCGTTATATTTAGGAAGAGCGTTACCTTTAGGCTCCGAAGCAAGTAATTATCAAAGTGAACGATATTACTTGGAGGATGAACTTAGGACTATGGATAACTTTAATGAAAGTAATGAACGGGTAAAGGGTATGTTCTCGACTTGAAATCAAAAATTAAAACTTGTTATTATTATAATCGCTTATTTCACTAGGCGGATGTCTTATGCATCACCATGGGAACTCTAGCCCTAGCGAGACAAGTGGTTCGGATCGTTATTTGTTAAATCGAACTAACTCCCCTGCGAACGCTTTCAGCACCTCTAACGGTTTAGAAAACTATTCTTGCTCCAATAACAACAATTCTTCGTCATCGAATTTAGTTCTGGATCAGCGTTATCATCACACGAAAGTGCAGAGACTAACGGATAACCTATGTAGTTTGGGTAGATTTTCTCCTAGCCTTGATCAAGGCTATGCCACTTTGGTTTCACCCTCGCCCACTGGTCATCATCCACATACTATTACCACGCATAGTATAGTACATCATCCTCCTCCAACGACAGTAGCTGCTGCAGCGGCTGTTGCTCGTCGTCACATTGAGACTGGGCCGCCGCCCTGGAATAAGAAAGGTCCTTATAGAGCAGGTCCCTATTTTGATCGATTACCCGATGACACTATTATGAAATTATTCAGTTGGTTTGAAAGCTGCGAACTATGTAATGTGGCCCGGGTATGTCGACGTTTTGAGCAGTTAGCTTGGCGGCCACTCCTTTGGAAGGTAATCTCTCTTAAAGGTGAACATCTGAACGGTGACAAAGCACTGAAAATGATATTTCGTCAGTTGTGTGGTCAAACTCGGAATGGATCTTGCCCCGAAGTAGAAAGAGTTATGCTTGCTGATGGTTGTAAAATCTCAGATAAAGGTTTGCAGCTCTTAACAAGGCGATGTCCCGAATTGTCACATTTACAACTGCAGGGATGTATAAACGTCTCAAATCAAGCTCTCGTGGATGTATTAACTAAGTGCACAAATATTCAGCATCTCGATGTAACAGGTACTAACCCATTAAGGGTCTAGCAACTAATTTCTTGATTCGTTGAAATACTAAAAAAATATTTTAGGATGCGCGCAACTAAATGCAATCACTCCTAATCCGAGCCTAGATCCTCAACGTCGGTTACTGTTGCAATACTTAGATTTAACCGATTGCACATCTATTAACGATGCAGGTTTAAAAATAATTGTTAAAAATTGCCCTCAACTCATTTACCTTTATCTGAGACGCTGTGTACGTATTTCAGGTAAGAGATGATCCGTATTTGTACAATTGCTTTAATTAACTAATTTTGATCATTTCTTCAATTTTAGATGCGGGCCTCAAGTATGTGCCCAGCTTTTGTATTGCTCTGAGAGAGCTTAGCGTTTCAGATTGCACCGATGTTACGGATTTCGGTCTCTATGAATTGGCGAAATTGGGTGCTGCTTTACGTTATCTTTCCGTAGCTAAATGTGATGGTGTATCGGATGCTGGCCTTAAGGTTTTAGCAAGACGTTGCTATAAATTGCGTTATTTAAATACGAGGGGCTGTGAAGCAGTTAGCGACGATTCAATTACAATTTTAGCACGATCTTGTCCTCGCTTACGAGCCCTAGATATCGGTAAATGTGATGTGAGTGATGCTGGTCTACGCGCTTTGGCGGAAAGTTGCCCAAATTTGAAAAAGCTGAGTTTGAGAAATTGTGATATGATCACCGATCGCGGTGTCCAGTGCATAGCCTACTATTGCCGAGGTCTCCAACAGCTTAATATACAAGATTGTCAAATTTCAATAGAGGGCTATCGAGCCGTCAAAAAGTATTGCAAACGTTGCATCATTGAGCATACAAACCCGGGGTTCTGTTGACCCCGGTCCTCTTTGTGGTGCTGTAAGAAATTTTCTATATTTGATGATTTGTTTTGTAGAAAATTTTGTATTGGTTTTTGTTGAAGGACCCAGAAAGTATTTAGGCCTCTTTCTAAATTGTGCATTATTAGTTGAACACTATAAGTCAGATTTTTTTTAATTAGATTACCATAAATATGATTATACTATAAATTAAATTAATTTTGTAAGCAGTTATCTTTACGGAGATTTTAGTTGTATGTATACACGTATATATATATATATATATATATATA